CGATTCTAGTGGTTTATTGTTCAGCGGTTCAAGCAAGGCCGGTCGAGTTATTGTTTGAGTTCTTAGCCACGTTTCATTACTGGTAATAACTCGAGATTAAGTACTTACAATCACAATATTTATTTGCTTTTGAACGGGTAACGATAATACAATTGTAACTTTTTCATTGAAAAAAAAAAAACACCAACCTCAAAAGTTTGCTTATCGACTTTTTTTATTTCCATGGGATCCCCTCATCAGATTCTGACTCCTTGGTGACAGTGGGACTGTTACAGACTCCTTTGTACATTTATATTCTCCGTATTTTATTTTCTGGTTGCCATGGTGACGTTGTCATTTGTTGATTACATATATTGTGTCACGTGAAAAGTAGACTTCTATTTGCGGAAAATAATTAATAATTTGTGATAGCCGAAATGAACCCAGAACAGGGACCACCTCAAGCGTAAATATATATAATTGATGGAGAATTTGGTGAAGACACGGACATGCCTATAAAATTTGAAGATTCCTTCGGTTTTCATGGGATCCCCTCATTAGATTGTGATTTGGTGACAATGGGACCACCACGAGAGTGCACCCTTTCAAACAAAAAAGAATTTTCAAAATAGGTCCACAGTTTTTGAAATCGGTTAAAAATAAAATATTATTATAGTCGATATCCTTGTGAAAGAGTTCGTCCAGGGAGGTACTGCCACCTTAACTCATTTCTGCCGCCAAGCATTACTTGTGTTCCAGTTTTGAAGGGTAAAGGTGCTGTGAAATTACAGGCACAGAGGACTTGTCAACTTACGTCGTATGACGAGCGCAGTGGCACTGCCCCTCAGATCTTTGCGATTTAAAGTTCTGAGTGGCACTGCAACTGTTATGGACAGGCGTGTAGCTTATCATCAGGCGCACGACTTGTTCGTTCCGTCACTTATAAAAAAAAAAACTTACAATAGTTTGTTATAATTATTAATACAAAGATCGAACACAGAAAAAATTCCTTCGATCCGGCCGGATTCGAGCCGATGTCTTCTAGCTTACCGTGGCAGACGCTATACCAACTAAGCCACGGTACGAACCAACGCACATAGGGGTATTTGTCTTTGAAATCCGGACAAAAGTCGATTTCTCGGAATCCGACGTACCACAAAACTGTTTATTACCTGAGATACATGATGAAATGGTAGACAAACAGGTACCTTCCTTTGTCTCACACTCTTCCAGGTAGCCGTGGTCTTTTAGTAGAAAGGTGACTGTCTTTGCCAGTGCACGTATCTGTTATCGCAGTGTTCAGTGTGTCAAGAGTTTCAAGTGTGTTAATATATTCTATACGAAATAATTACTAAAGATTGAGCATGGATATTTCTGAAGCAGGTATGTACGATGTATTTTAACTATTTTTTTGTAATGGAATTTATTGTTTCGTAGTAAAAACTCTTTTGTGAGAACACAGTTTTAAAGCATATTTACGTTAAAATTTTGTTAAACTAAAAGAGTTTTGTTATACTTCCAGATGTGTCCCGGTTATATTTTTAAATTTGTATTGTAGAAAAAAGGGTTCTTTTATCATTACAACAAATACCAATTCCAACTTTGTCCAAATTGCTGAGTAATTGCTAAAATTCCCACGTGACTCGTACTATAAAAAATAAACATTTAACTCAAAATAAATACTTATTCTTTTGCAGGGCCATCCGGTGTCAAAGCTATGACGCGTAAATATTTTTACGACTTGATGAAAGAGTACCCCCATGACGACATCAATAAAAAATTAGACAATGCTGAAGCTTCGTTGTTGGATTCACAAAATTACTCTGAAGACCAACGAAAAGAGGTAAAAAAGAAATTGTCATATTTAAAATCTGAAATTAAACGTAGATGGATTACCTCACATTACGTAGAAGACCTTTTCCTTAAAAGAAATGACAAATGGCTACAAGGGACGTTTCTTCTGCCAAAAGCAAGACCTCGGCCAGGCCGCCCACGGAAGTCTTTTGACCATGTAAGCGAACGAACTAAGAGAAGGAAAACCGAACAACTTCGTAGTCAAATGAGCTCTGAAGAGTTGACTTTCGCTACTCAAGTAAAATTGCAATGTGAAGGTAAGACAGATGCTTCACATGTAATAAAAGATTTAACACAATCCCCTATGCGTGCAAAAAAATATAGAAAAGCGCTAACCAAAAGTAAACATGACAAAGAGAAGCAACTAACACCATTGAAAGCTTTATGTATGTTTGTTGAAGCTGGCCTGTCAAGAAAACAATATGAGATCATTCGAAGCTTCAATAAAAAATATTATCCATGCTATTCAATTTTACAAAATGCTAAAAAGGACTGTTACCCTGTGGAAACATCTTATAGAGTTACAGCGACTTGTGCAGAAATAAACCTTCAGGATGTATTGAACCATACTGCTCAGCGTCTGTTTTTAAGTTTGACAGAAGTCGTTCAGCACTTAGATGATGTCGACAATAACACTTTCACTTTAATGTACAAGTGGGGATGTGACGGATCTCAGCAAACAAAATTTAAACAAAAATTTGAAAATAGCTCGGATTCAGATGCGAATATATTCCAAAGTTCGTTTGTCCCTTTGCAACTATCTTGTGGACAACAAAATAAGATAGTATGGCGAAACCCATTACCTTCTTCCCCACGCTATTGTCGACCGATTCGAATTCGATTTGTTAAAGAAACAGTTGATATTACGAACGATGAAATTAAATACATAGAAAGTAAAATAAATTCATTAGAAGACACTCAGATCACGCTTATAAATAAAAAAATTTCGGTAAAACATGTAATGATGCTTACAATGGTTGACGCAAAAGTGTGCAATGCTGCAACTATGACTAAGTCAACAATGAAGTGTTACATATGTGGAGCAACAAGCAAGGATTTTAACAATTTAAATCTAAAGAAGCCAATAAATGAAGAGTCTCTCAAATTTGGGTTATCTATATTGCATGCACGAATCAGATTGTTTGAAGGGCTTCTTCATCTTGCATATAAATTGCCAGTTAAAAAATGGCAATTAAGAAATGAAACTGACAAACAAATAGTCCAACAAAAAAAGTTGGATATACAAGAGGCCTTTAGATCGCAATTGGGACTCATAGTAGATGTTCCCAAAGCTGGATTCGGAAACACAAATGACGGGAATACGAGTAGAAGATTTTTTATGGATCATGAACTGTCAGCAACGATATTGGGAATAGATTCTCGCCTAGTGTATCGCGTGAAAGTCATCCTAGAAGCAATATCAAGCGGTCACAAAATAGACACTGGTAAATTCGGATCCTTTTGTTCAGACACAGCTAAATTGTATGTGGATCTATATCCTTGGCATCCGATGACGCCCACACTGCACAAAATTTTAGTGCATGGATCTATTGTTATAGAAAGGAATCTTTTACCCATAGGTATGATGTCAGAAGAGGCTGCTGAGGCTCGGAACAAACACTTTCGATCCTATCGTTTAAATTACGCTCGAAAATTCAGCAGAGAAGACTGTAATCGCGATGTCATAAATAGATTATTATTGAGCTCTGATCCCCTTATAACTGGTATGAGACCTACTCCTCCGAAAAAGACAAAATCTTTTCTAAAAGACACTCTCCAGATGCTTTTGCCCGCTGAGAGGCAAGTAGATTTATTTAATTTGGAGGACTTCGTAAAAGAGTCTTCAGATGAATCCTTATCGGAATAATATATGATTTTTATTAAATTAATATGGTTGACTTATTGAAAATGTTGTTTTATTTACCAGCCTTGTGTTTTTAATAGCCATATTAGCTTTAATACAGTTATTTACACTGTTATAAGTCACTTCAGATCACAAAATAATTTTGTCCGGATTTAAGAGCCACATACCCCTATGTGCAACGGTCCTCACGAATTTTTCTATGTGCTTGCGTCGTGTCTTTGTATTTGGTTTTTACAACGACTTTTTAGTCGTAGCGCCATCTAACCGACGTCTTCTAGCTTACCGTGGCAGACGCTGTACCAACTAAGCCACGGAACGAACCAGCGGACCTCACGAATTTTTCTATGTGCTTGCGTCGTGTCTTGGTATTTGGTTTTTACAACGACTTTTTAGTCGTAGCGCCATCTATGAGAAATCTATGAAAGATTTATCACCCAGTTAAACCTTTACAGTTACCAGCCCTGGCGAGAGATGTCGCTATTCGCTGTATTTTAAATTTTTATTGAATTGGTATTCAATTATTTTTTGTGAAAATACTCCACTAGGACTAGTTTGTTATAATTATTAATACAAAGATCGAACACTCAGAAAAAAATCCTTTGATCCGGCCGGATTCGAATCGACATCTTCTAGAAAACCGTGCTAGATGCTATGCCAACTAAGCCACGGAACAAACCAGCGGACCTCACGAATTTTTCTATGTGCTTGCGTCGTGTCGTTGTATTTGGTTTTTTCAATAGTCAATACAATTTTAAAAAACTTACAATAGTCTTTAACTTTCATTTTTGTGGGTAAATTTCAGTTTTGTTTTCTCTACTTTATTTCGATGGCAATTTTTGTAATTTGAATATTTTAGAATATTATCATGACGTATTATTTACATCACGACCTCGGTGGCCTAACGGTTTACATTGAGGGCGCTGGACGCGAAGGTCCCGGGTTCGATTCCCGGTAGGACCAATTTGAGAAATGAACTCTAAATTGGTTCTGTTCTCGGTGTTCTGGGAAGTGCCCCAGAATTCCGTTGCTCAGGTACTCTTAATACAGGGAATTCCCTAGTTTAAGACCAGGCAATTGGTGTGGTTGTCTGGCACATATTATTATTTAACATTTCACGACAATATACTCGAATACGAAACATTTTTACCGAAATTAGATGGAGAAAACTGACCTGAAAAGTCTTCAGGGGTTCTTGATTGTTCGACACTCGGCCGAATAATCATTTTCAAACAATTTAAAATCTTAATTAACGGTTCTATTGCAAGTGAACATGTTATAAAACACTACGTATCGTTTGTTTTAGGGCGACGTCCTAGAATGCCCACTATGCCTGACAATATTCGCGGCAAGCGGCATGGTGCGGCTGGCGTGGTGCACGCACCGCAGCTGCGAACCCTGTCTGCGCCAGTACCTCGCCATCGAGATCTTCGAAGCACGAGTGCCTGTATCCTGCCCTGTCTGCCACGAAAACATGCACCCACTTGGTAAGCCATCAGTTAAACAAGAATCTTAATCTCTTAAAAATCACAAAGAATCCCAACATAACAAGAATCCGGAAAAATAGTTTGATTTCTTATGTGTAACAATCGCGAAAACCTAAGAACTGTTTTCAAAGACTTAGAAAAATTCTGCACCTCCTAAGTCAATGTGCGCTCTGATGGACAGGCTCGCTCGTGGGCAAACATATTTACCAACAATAGGATTTAAAGACAAACAAAGCTAAGAAGATCCTACAAATTGTTACTACTGGTAATAAAAATAAGGACATTGAACCAGCGCACTTTAGTTAAGATTAAATTGATACAAATATTGAAAACTTAAGAGAATAATTTTTGAACATTTTCTACTCATACGAATAAGCCCCCCAGCCTGGAATTGCGTTATGTCAAAACAATAATAAACAACTCCTTGACACAAATCCAACATGATAGATGATGTTATACGAGGCGTCATAGAGCCAGTCAACGAAATAGACGGTGATGGGTTCTGTCTACATTGATTAATTTTGGTAATAGCTTACAATGAAGTAGAGTAATTCATTGTCACTTGTGTTAACGAAGAAATCTTGGAGTAGACTTATATGTAGAAGTTTCTTGAAACCACTGGTCATTGTAATATTGAGTCTCCAATGAAACTATTTACCTTAGATCTAAGTCCAATGGTACCATACTACAACTCATGGTACCACGATTTCATTTAACTATTTTTTTTATAATATCAAGCATCGAGTATATAACCAGAAATGGAGACGAAATAAGGGCCATACATTCCTGGTAACTCATCAGTGATACATCACTTATAAATGTCAACTCTCATTTGCACTGAAATACAGACAGCGCCAACAACTGACCTGTGTGTACGTCTCCGTATATTCCAAAAAATATTCTGTATTTATTGTAATAATGATAATATTTCTAACAATAGCGTGCTGTTCCATTCGGTGGTGTGGGGAAAAACAGCAAAATATCTAATACAAAACAAACGGAATCAAATTTTATCGGTAATTAAATATTAAATATGTAATTTTACAATTTTCGTCCATTATAGCAAAGCTCAAGTTAACTGGTTGATTGAAGTGAAAGAATTGACGAAACCCGTCAATTGTTTAGAATTCAGGATGGTCAATCGGAGCGCAGTTGTCACAGTAATGGTAGAATAGTTTTCAAACAAATTAAATGACATTTCGTCTCTATTTCTGGTTATATGTATACTCAATTATATCAAATGACGGGACGAACAAGTCGTGTGTGTACAGGCCCGGTGATAAGCTACACCCCTGTTCATAACAGTTGCAGTGCCACTCAGAGCTTTAAATTGCAAAGATCTGAGGAGCACTGCCACTGCGCCAATCACCCTGATACATAAGTCCCATGTGCCTGTAATTTCACTAGCACCCGTACCCTTCAAAACCTGAACGCAGTCAGGGTCACATTACTGCTTGTCGGCCGAAATAGGTAAGGTGACAGTACAATCCTGGACGAACTCTTTCACAAGGAGTTCTACTGCTACTTAATATTAGTGTTCGAATTAAATGTATTTTTGTACACTATTTGATTTTTAATTCGGAACTTAATCACGTATAAAACTTATTTGAATTACATCGACGTTTCGGACATATTGCAATGTCCGAAACGTCAATATTGTTTAAATACACAATAGTGTTTAAAATTGAGAATATACACTGATTAGTTTATGGCGTGAAAACACGTTCCAATAAATTTACGATAGAAAAGTAAAAACACAGTCGAAATTTTACAAGAAAATCGCTATATTCTATAGGTACTTTATACACATACGGCGCACTATAAGTTTCCGGAACTGGCAACTTACATAAACAATATTTAAAAAGTAATTACAACATTTGAAAATGGAACTCTTTGGCTGTAGAATACAGTTTGTTTCATCTGTCTGTCACTTGTTTCTACATTGTTTCGTCATTTTAGAAATTGGTTGTCTACATCACCATGAATTTAACTCGTGAAAAGTTTCGTAGTATGATTTTCTACGACTTTAAATGTAATTTAATAGCTCAGCGGAGCGAACTGCTTTTGGCGATGCAGCACCATGCAAGACGACTATTTACAGCTGGCTTGCAGAATTCAAACGCGGTCGTGTGAATCGCAGTGACGAATTTCCTGATGGTCGCCCGTCCACTGCTTTGAACAACAAAAACATCGATGCTGTGGGCCGTATTATCAAAACAGACAGGCATACCATGGTGAGACAGCTGCGGGGGCGGAAGAAGGTCCCCGGACGGGGTACCGGGATGAGTTCTCCGCATTGCCCTGAAGCATCTCGGGACCCGCCTCAAGCAACTCATGGATGTCTGCTTGAGGACTGACTGACTGTTTTGCGGAGAGGTTACGTCGCAAAAGGAGGCTGCGGAGCGGGTGCGCGTCTGCCGCGCACTCGCGTAGACGTACGGGGAGAAGGCGAAGACAGTTCGCTGCATGGATGACCCCTAGTGAGGACAGCGGGCCCTGGACAGGGATTCCGGAGCCTGCATTGCACGGCCTCACTCGTTTGGGGGGCGGGTCGGAGGACAACTGACTTGCCCCCCCGTTGGCACGGGAGCCCTGGCGCAAGCTAGGGCGGCCGGGCGGCGTCGTGGTGGATGTGCAACGACACCGGCGCCGACTCAACCGGCGGGAGATAAACCCGGGGGGGTTTTAGTGGGGACGCCCTCCAGTCTGGAGGAAAAGTCCCCACATAACCCCTGAGTCTCCCTGGGCTCATGGGGTATCTACAAAGCTTTTCCCCCGTAAAAAAAGGCATACCATGCCATGCTTACCAGATTCAACGAAAGGGCATCAAATTTGGTGTGGGATATAGTAACAGGTGACGAAACATGGATTTATAGTTATGATCCCAAAACAAAGCAGCAATGGGTCTTTCGAGATGAGCCGAATTGCTTCTTTTTTTAATAAAACTGGACACGTTGCTACTGTTGCTTTGGAGAATCGTTGTACCGTGAATAGTGATTGGTACACGACCATTTGTTTGCCGGAAGTTATTGATAAACTCCGTAAAAATAACCGTAAACGCCGTATCATCTTGCACCACGATAATGTCAGTTCTCACACGGCCAGACAGACAAACGAATTTTTGAAAGTGAACAACGTTGACCTTATGAGCTATCCCGCGTACAGTCCTGACCTGGCACCTTGTGAATTTTATTTATTTCTAAAAATTAAGAACCAGTTACGCGGTCAACGATTTCATCACCTGAAGAGGCTGTCGAAGAGTATGAAAAATATGTTTCAGAGATTGTCACGGATGTGTAACAAATATTTCCGAAATTGGTTCATTCGTATGAAAAAGTGCATTAACGCTAACGGAGAATATTTTGAGAAACAATAAATTCATTTCCTCCATTAACTGCCTCCGTGGCCGAACGGTTACCATGCCGGGATGCCACGCAGAGGTCTCAGGTTCGATTCCGGGGTCGGGAGAAACATTTGTATGGCCTACATTTATTTCTTTCGTGAATTTGGGTGTAATTTGTGGTTGTCTATGTGTGTGTAATAACATTATTATTATTTCTGACTATTTATAGTATTCTTTTCTTATTCATTCCGGAAACTTATAGTGCGCGTCACGTACTACCTTCTAAGAAACGTTCACGTGTAACCCATAGTTCACAGAGTTAATAACAATTGAAACATTAGAGATTGTTTAAATCACTAAAGCATAGTTTCCCTAAGTGGTCCCTACCGCCTTCCAGTGGGCGTTGAAGAGTCCTAGAGGGCCGGTAGGGGTCTCAGGAGCAATTGGGGGGGCGTTGATGCTGTCCAGGGGGTGCTACCGCATTTGAAAAAAACTGAATTATCTATGTAAACTGCACTACATTTTTTTGCATATGATTTTTTGGGTTAAGTTAACATAAAATACATGTTTTCAATTATTTTTTTATGGTGGTGGGCGTTCAAATTTTCCAAAAGGCCAAAAAGTCTGGGAATAAATGAAAAATCAAAATCCACACAAAAACAAAACACAGCTACAAACAAGAGACAAAAAAGAGGCGACATTATTATCAATGTACTACGTATTAATTATTGATATGCATAATAAGTGTACCCGTCGACTCTACCTAGAATGGAGTTAGGCGACAAAGGACAACAAAGGACGTACTTCTGCGAAGCTCTTAGGTACTGAACTTCGCAAAAGAAATGATTCTTGGAATTTCTCGAATGAAAGTATATTATATTCAGTTCGCCTAACACAAAGAACGTTACACGTGCCCAAGTGATTAAGTTTTAGTAAGTCTGTATTTTCTTATATAGAAGTTATAATAACGACAATCTCGAAGGCCCAACGGCTAGCAATCTGGGCGTTGGATATGAAGGTCCCGGGATTTCCGACATGACCAATTTGGGAAATTAACTTTGTTCTGATCTGGGTGTTCTGGGTAGTGCCCCGGAGTGAATTCCGTTCCTCTGGTAATCATAGTACAGGGAATTCCTTAGTTTTGAGACCAGGTGTGGTTATTTGGGACTAAATGAATAGCCATTGATAATATTAATAACTTCATAAAAGAAGAACATCACCGGTTAACCTCGTAATTTTTTGTCAAAGTTCTGAGATTTTTACCTTTTAAATCCCAGATTCTGCAAATTTAAATCTATCGAGAGACAGTTAGTGCGGCAGCGACATAACCAAATCTCAAATCTCTTAAAAAACGCAATATTTCTTATTGTATTTAGAGTGAGAAAAAGAAATGGCGGGTTTTTCGTTGTTACATTTTTTACATCAATTGATTTTTACTTTATTTATTATGTTTTGAGTTTCTTAAATATGTTATATGTAACAACTGCCTCCGTGGCCGAACGGTTACCATGCCGGACTGCCACGCAGAGGTCCCAGGTTCGATTCCCGGGCCGGGAGAAATATTTGTATGGCCTACATTTATTTCTCTCGTGAGTTTGGGTGTAATTTGTGGTTGTCTATGTGTGTGTCCATGGCACCCGCGACACAGGGTTACCCTAGTGCGGGGCTATGTTGAGTGTGAGCGTTATTATTATTATTATTATTATATCTTAAAAATCGTTAATGGTTGAGTAGCAGTAGAGCTCCATGTGAAAGAAAATGTGATCATTATTGCGTTCCGGTTTTGAAGGGTAACGGTGCTGGTGAAATTATAGGCAAATGGAACTTGTCGACTTATGTCCCAGTGGCAGCGCTCATCAGTTCCTTTTTTTATACTATACCAAGTAACGGGACGAACAAGTTGTGCGCCTGATGGTAAGCGACACGCCATCCATAACAATTGCAGTGCCACTCGGAGCTTTAAAATACAAAGATCTGAGGGGCACCGTCACTGCGCCCGTCATCCTGTCATATTGTTGTTGTTGATAAGTCTTATGTGCCTGTAATTTCACCAGCACCCTTACCTTTAAAACCGGAACGCAGTAAAGCTTACATTATTGCTTGGCGGCAGTGCTTCCCTGGACGAACTCATTCACTAGGAGGTCTACTGCTACAAAATCTTTGCGCTGCCTGACACTGCAACTTGACTTGACTGGCATCCCACCAGGCGACAATAGCTACATTCAAATTTAAAAACATTTATTTCAGGTTAAATCCATATAATGTGAGTATTAATGTTATTTATTGCCAATGCTCAATAAATAATCAATACTAAAAAAAAACAATACATTTGCATGTGTGCCAGTTTGAGTTAAGCGCTGCTAAAATACAATATGAACACTTTCTCTTTACGGTGTTATTTCTTAACACCCTGTTACGAATATACCAGCCCTATCGTCCTTCTGAGAAGGGCTTTCATGGAAATTCGGCCGAAAGCAAAGTTAATAATAACTGGTTCTGGAAAACGAGATAACGTCAATGGAATATTAGAGTAACGGCTGCTTTTATAAGCATTGGGTCCGTACGTAATAAAAATACAAGTTTACTGTTCATTCAGCTGAACTGCGAATTGAAAGCAACAAAATAGTCATTATTTTAGTTCTACGTCGTCGGTTAAAACTCATTAAATGATAGTGTGAAAAAAAAACATTTTTTTTTTCAGAAAAATAAATATTTTTCCAGATATTATTCCAATATTTTTCCACATTTGACGTTGGCACCTGTCAAAAGTAGAAGTTACTGAACGAAAACGATGGAGCCATTAAAAAGGTTTTTTTTTCGCTGTTGTCCAATCATTTAGTAGCATCTGAGCTCGTTGTGAAAGATTTCGTCGAGGGAAGTGCTGCCTTCTTACTTATTTCTGCCGCCAATCAGTTATGTTGGCATTACTGCGCTCCGGTTTCGAAGGGCAAGGGTGCTGGTGAAATTACAGGCACATGGGACTTGTCAACTTATGTCACAGGGTGACAGGCGCACTGCCAGTGCCCCTCAGATCTTTGCGATTTAAAGCTCTGAGTGGCACTGCAACTGCTATGTAAAGGCGTGTAGCTTACCATCATGCGTACGACTCGTTCGTTCCATCACTTGATTTTATTTAAAAAAAAGTATTTCTCAAGGTATTTTGCCAGCACCTTTGCCCTTCAAACCCGGAACGCAAAAATGCTTACATTACTGCTTGGCGGCAGAAAAGGGTAAAGTGACAGTAAAGTACTTCCCTGGACGAACCCTTTTATAAGGAGAGCTGCTAATAGAACACGCTCTTTCGTTTAGTACGTTACTGTTGGGAAGTTTGAACGCGCAAGCAATAATAATTGCATATTATACATTGACTTACAATTATATGGACGTCGGGTCCGCGCTAAAAAGTGTCCGAACTTGGCGTTAAAATCGTATACAGAGCGTCATTCACGCTTTAGTCTTCGTTTGTTCGACTGACAGCGAAGCAAGCAAAATTAGACAGTACTGCGATGACATTACGATTTAAATCTAACGTTTCAGCTTTTTCATATTCCTTTACATGTCACTACGTTTAAATAGGTTGACTTGGGACATTTTTTTCGTGGTTTTTGTATTAGACCCGTCGTCCATTTATTAGTAAGTCAATGATATTATAGAATGTTTATGTTGTTATGTTGGACGATGCTGCACATACCTACTATGATGTACAAATAAATGCATCACGGTAATCTTTTCCCCGTTTGTCGCAGGATGTGAATTATGATACATGAATGGTATATTGTGCATCTGTCGATGCGAAACATAGTGAGATATAATATACTTTACACTGTAATATCTATTAGACCATGGAAAGGCCGACTAGTTTCTTTTGAACCGTGAAATAGTGGCGACTTTGATTATTTATTTATCTATAGACTTTGTTGCCGATAACTTACACAATAACTTATCTATTTATTATTATTATTATTAGTAGCCATAGAGCTCCGTGTGAAAAAGTTCGTCCAGGGAAGTACTGCCACCTTACCTATTTCTGCCGCCAAGCAGTAACGTGCACATTACTGCGTTCCGGTTTCGAAGGGCAAGGGTGCTGGTGAAATTACACTGTGATTTAAAGCTCTGAGTGGCACTGCAACTGTTATGGACAGGCGTGTCGCTTACCACCAGGCACATGACTTGTTCGTCCCGTCATTTGATATTATAAAAAAAATCTAACATGAACATGTTATGACATATATGTATCTTCATGTTAGATTTTTTTACGCGTACGTATTATACGAGTATATTACTTATTATTACTCAAATTTGATGAAGGTACCGCCTTCAGCTTGTCCTAAGACGTAGGCCTCTTCCAGAGATTTCCATTTCTCCTTATTATATTATATATATATTTTTTAGTCTTTGATTTGCTTTTAATTGTAGTTCGTTTTAGTTTATATTCCAATTTCAATTGTTTGAGGAATGAGGTTGTTAAAATTTCCAGAATGTGGTGTAGGTCGACGTTTAATTTGTCTGTCTTAAAGGGACTTCTTTTCAGAATATAATTGCTTTAATCTCATCTTTTGTTACGTCAGTTCTTTGGAAATTTAGCGTGGAAAGTTTTATTTTTCTCTTAAATTCCAATAACTTAAGGTCAATTTACATTGCGGCGGAACGGAATGGAAGCGAATTTTTAGCAAATTACACTTGAAATCGTTATATTTACACAATTTTTAAAACCATACCGTCTTATCGTTTATGTAATCCCTAACAGAGTAATATCGTCCCTTTAGTAGAGTTGCCTTTACATGATTTTTGAACTTATCAAAGAACAAGTCCAAAACAGGTTTTGGAATCTTATTATATTACTGAACACCTTGCCCCACAAAAGAACCGAGAACCCTCTGAAGTCTAACACTTCATAACGTAGTCGGTAACACGAGCTTCAATTTATGTCTAGTATCAAAATTATGTGTACGTCATTCCGTTTATTATATAGTTCATTATTTAGACGCACAAAAAGTATACAATAGTAAATAAACTGTGATGCAGTGGTAAATATTCCAATATCGAACTTACTTTGGAGATCGCTGTAACCGCACGCTTCTGCAAAATAAAATTCTACATAATATGCGTTTGAATTCCAGATGTACGTAGAATCGTGGACAACCCGGTGCTATATGACAAATATGAAGAGTTCTCAGTGCGACGCGCGCTTGCCGCTGACCCTGACACCAGGTGGTGTCCCGCGCCAGATTGCAGGTCTGTATCACAGTATAATAAAACATTGATTATTGGAATTGCGATACGGCACGAACGCAAACTGTTTGGACATCCATACACTCTGTTTAAAAAATATCATACGGCAGAAAAGAGTAACCGGTTACCTCCATTTTGTTAACTACAATTTTGAGCAATATGGCAATCTAAAAAGCTAATAATACCTAATAGAATATTCAGAATATAAAGGTAAAACGCCTTAAAGTGCACTGGGAAAATATTACTGAATATAAAGAATAGTTTTAAGAAAAACAAAATCATCTCTAATTTTTTTTTGTTATATGGAAAGCTAGAAAGTTTCAGCTTTTTCGTATAACAAACAAAATTAGATTTAGGACATTTTAAATAAATACTTTAAATCGCTCTTGTAATATTTTCCAAATGCACGTTAGACGTTTTACCTTAACAGCGTCGAAATATATTTTCTCAAGTTTTTACAGTTTTCAAAAAAAAAAGTTTAGTAAAATCGTAATTTTGCAGATAACCGGTTATTCTTGCTGCCATCGAAATACAACATGGCCATAGACAATAGGGTTAAATACATTGAAGTCAGAACACGTGAGCCAAAAATTATGTTTCGTTACTTGAAAATTTACATTTTTGCTGCAAAATGGCGGCTGAAGTTACATTTTAGTTTTTTTACAATCTCTAAGCACACAGCTACACGAGGAAAAAGTTTTCGGGCGACCACCCAGTTACCACGCCTTCATGTACTGTATGAATTCTATTTATTATGCAACAACATTTAAATTCCACTCAATAAAATTACCGCGCGGCCGCCGCGTAGACCAAATTCAAGCCAGGCTAGCCCGCGTGCCCGGAACGCTCATTTAAATTAAAACGTAAAAGCGTATTTTGCCATGACAGTTAGACGCACGCGGTCGCTGCGCGTCGGCAACGCGAACTCAGTTCTTCGACCGTGCGGCGGCCGCGCGGTGAATTTCGTCCAATAAATGCGCCCTAAGTGTTTACTATATACATATCGACACTGGAAAGGTAAAACGTCTAACAAATAAAATTAGATGTATTTTTTTCTTAAAAAATCGCCATTTTCCAAACGCACGTTAGACGTTTTATCTTTCCAGTGTCGATATAATTTTAAATACGTTTAAATCATTGAAAAGTAGGTACGCTTAAGAAATATCAATCTTTTAAGTAGTAATTTTACTGGTAGATTTAATTTTCTTTGCTTCACCTCTTGCTTACTTTGTTATTACATACACATTTGTTATCACATATATTACAATAAAAAATAGTTGAATACGTATAAATTTAACATCAACGTTCTCAAAAGTTACCAAAATTGTCTTAAAAACAAAAGTTACTAATTATATTACGCGAGACAGTCAAAAGTTACGAAAAATGCAAGAAATTAGACCATCTGGCAACACTGGTTAAGTAGTAGTATTTTTTTCTTCTTTTGGGACAGGCTATGGCGTTTATGTCATACTACCAGTTCTTAGATTGAAAAATACATTGACAATGACATGAGGATATGTTCACGTTTCCTGGCTAGGAACAAGCCACTAGCATACAGGTTAATCGTGTTCTGATACTCTTTTTATGATGAATTATCTAAATTTCTTATTTTAATTGTCGTTATAGTCGAAAACAGTTACTTGCGTGTACTGCCTACTTCACACTCTACCAGCACAGCTACATCGATCGGTCTATTGTGTAACAAAACACGTGGCGGGTGCCTTCGAGCGAATTAATTTGAAGTCTAATCAACAATACACGGTCTGTGGTGGTCACTAGTGAAACTTTATTCCACAGATTGATGACGATGGTACCGAGGACACGGGTTCGATTCCCGGTATGACATATTTGGGTAACCAAGTTTTATAAATTGGTCCTGATCTATATTATGTTCTAGGTAGTACCATTCTAGTATTATTAATATCTTAAGAACATTACTATTAATATAGTTTTTAGTGAGCATAATTATTCATGCAAAGATCGAACACTATGGAAAATCTTTCGTTTCGGCTGGATTCGAACAAGCGCCTTCAGCATGCCGTGCCTGTCGGTCCTCCAACTGAGCTACGGAACGAACCAGCAAACCTTACGAATTTCTTTATGTGCTTCTTGCAGATCCTTGTTTTTCAACGACTTTTTTGCCGTAGCGCCATCTGTGGCAAATGTATGAAAGTTTTTCTTCACTCAACCAGGCACCTTTACAGCTATCAGCAGCTGACTAGAGATGCCGCTTTAATAATTACAATATTAAGTTTATTGAATATCACGATGTTCTACTACCATGATATTCAATTATTTTTTGTGAACATACTCCACTAGTTTGTTATAATTATTAATACAAAGATCGAACACTAATAAAAATTAATTCGATACGGCTGGAATCAGTCGGATCAATGGAATTTTTCGAAGTTGATCTTGTGTACACTTTCACAAAAAATAATTGAATATCATGGTAGTAAGACATCGTGATATTCAATAAACTTGATATTATAATTATTAAAGAAACATCTCTAGTCTGCTGCCGATAGAAAGAGTCTGTTATAGAAATTTTGGAATGTCTGTAAATAGGCTACAGTGGTGATCAAAATAGACCATTGCTGTATAAATTAGTGTATAAACATACAGAAATCTAATATTAACAAGAGTATTGGAATTAATGACTATGATAAATCGTTAGTCATAATAAGAAGCATTATCACATCCGGATTTCTGTGTATTTAATGCAGGAAGCGTTGCAAAAGCTATGTTATTTGTGTTGCAGTTTCGCGGTAGTGGCAACGGGGTGTGCATCCTGCCCGAAACTAACGTGTCTAGCTCCGGGGTGTGGTGCGTCCTTCTGCTACCACTGTAAGGCGGCGTGGCACCCGACACAGACGTGTGACGCGGCGCGCCGCAGCCGACAGCCGCCGCCGCGCGCGCCGCAGCCCTCCCATGCTGATTTCGATCATGGTAAGCACAACTTACTGTACGATGAAGCACAATTATATATTCTTTATTGCACCAAATAGAGCAGACTTGTTCTGGAATAGCCACGTCAAGGAAAACGTAGTGTGGAACGCCGTGGGGCAAGATGGACGGACGACCCGGGAGGCTTATGTCCAGCAGTAGACGCGTGTAAGCTGATGATGATATTGCACCAAACAAATATAAAAGATATATTAATTCCGCAGAAGGTGAGCAAAGGTTGACTTATCTCTAAAAGAGATTACTTTCAGACAACCGAAGGCAGCGAGAGCAAAGTTCATATAAGTGGACAACAGCGTGCTACAAAGAATGAGGAATAAATATCATAAAGTACCATATAAATAAAAAAATACCGTTTCTTAAATAAGAATATAATAGAATTAAGCTTTATGGCAAACAAAATAAAAACAGTGACAATTCAAAACATAGTTAAAGGTACAATCGGCGGCCTTATCTTCTTTATCTTTATACACATTATTATACTCAATATATAACTATATACCGATACAATGCATAGAATATGCTTGTAATACATATTTCATAAGTATTATAAACAATAGATTACAATATAAGGTATAATAAACAATAAAATAATAAATAATATCAATATACACCATAAATATACGCACATAGGTACACATTCAGAAGGTTACATGAAATAAAAGAGATAATAAGATTACAAAGAAAGTGTAGTAAGAAATTATGAGAGTGAGGAGGAGATACATTTAAACTTCATATGTGAGTTTATGCATCAATGGCCAAAGTAGATAATTTTTTACTTTACATACACAAAGAACCAGATTGGTTTGGCTTCAGTTTTAGAGTCTAGGAATAACCGTCTTTATCATGTGTGTTACAGGCGAAGTCAAACCGTGCCCGCGGTGCTCGGTGCTGATCGTGAAAGTGGAGGATGGCTCGTGCAACCACATGGTGTGCTGCGTATGTGGAGCAGAGTTTTGTTGGCTATGCATGAAGGAGGTCTCGGACCTGCACTATCTTAGGTGAGATACAACAAGCCCTAAATATAAATTGACAGCAGAGGTTCCCAAACTTTTTTGCGTGTCACGTGCCAGTATTTTCTGCTTTGCTAAGTTCTAAAAAATAAAAGTTTTGATTAAATAACTTTTAGTGAGGAATTTAATTTAATACTTGGCTAATTAAAAAACAGGTTGATTTAAGGTAACAAAAAGAAAATGAAAGATAGAAAATGACAATTATGTTTGAGTACAGTCGCGTCCAAAGGTGTTAAAACGTAAAATAGTAATGTGAATAAAATCTAATTAAATAGAAACCTTTGGGAATATTACAATAGTACCATGGGCATTTTTCTAGGCCATTCTAGGCAATAAACACCCTATATATTTTTTACCAATTCATCAACTTCAATTGTTTTTTTACAGCTGACACAATGTTACCACTTTGATAAGTTTAACTATATAGAGAGAAACACAAGAGTTTTAACATTTATCTAACCGAATATAGCTTCGTATTTTGTTCGTTATGAAATGTTTAATTCTCAGGTAATTTATGTCTTAAAGTATTTTGTACTATCTGTGTATGTCGATAATTCCGTTCTGGAAAGCTAAAATTTTAGTTACGGCCTGCCTAAGTGGGTTCCACTCTCATGGATAGCGTCTCATGGACCCCTATTTTTCTAGTCGAAGTGGGTGCCTTGTAGGTTAAATGTTGAGCGATTTCGAAATCAGCGGTCTGTAATTTAAATTAGCGTTTAAAATGCACAGGTTGTAAACTCGACCATGAGATTTTTTTATCACTGTAGCACCTCTTGAGTTTTTCGGAATTTATGTGCGTAATTTCATTTGAAATTTCTAGAACTCATTAGAACTTCGTGAGGAAACTTGCAAAACAATTTAATGACGCGTGTGAAGTTCCTAATCCGCATTGTGCTCGCGTGAAAACTGTAGCCCAAGTCCTCGCATTGTGAGAGGCCTGTGCTCAGCAGTGGGACTATATATAGGCTAACTATTATTTACTATAGCATAACAAGAAGGAAATGCTGCCAGTATTTTACCGTTGCATCGGTGCACGTAACCCGGCCAAGGGGGCCTACCACATCCGCTTAAAACAATATTACTTTAACCTTACATTGACTTTTCGTACCATGACGCGCTTAAAGTAAGCTTACTATAATGTTAAAACTATGTTTTATTGGCAGCTTTGTGACTATTCATTCACTCAGTTCGTACTATGACGCGACTTTAACATTAAAGTAATATTATCTTAACATAGTTACACGGATGCAATGGAAACAATATTATTTTTAGTTTTATTATCTTAATATTGGTTTGTAATGATTACAAGTTAAGTTGAACTTATTTATTTACATATATCTCATCAAAATTTTGTTTAATAGTACTTTTTTAATTTAATAGTGCACAGGAAATAATTTCTCGTTAATGTTTATTTCATAAAATTATGACAGCGACATCTATGTACTCCTTGGTGACACTAACAGTTCACACTAGACTATAATTCCGAATTCACAACGAGGCAATCAAGACTTAGCTTGTTTTGTTTATTTTTCTTCGTGAAAATGCGGAAAAATAATTGAAAACAACGTAATTTTAATAGATTTTACTATTACGTACTTTTCTTTTGTAACAATTAAAATTATCTGAATATAAATAACAACAAGTACTTAAACATTATACTGCGATAAGACGATAAAATAGAAAGAGATGGCATTATATAGTTCATATAGCGTTATTTCTTTCCTATTTTTAGTAAGGAATAGACAATATAGGGAAATCATTCGTTCTTTCAATCACTTTAACGTTACTTGGTTGACAGGTTTGTCATGGTAACAATATGAGTAATATTATAATAAGCTTACTTTAAGCTTACATTGAAATATGATTGTTTTTGGAAAGGTTATGGTAGGCCCCCAGTACTCTCGTTCTACGTCCAAAACAATTAGGGTGAGTTCCCGTTACGTCGTAACGTTTTATATATCGTTGGACGACTGTCGCGTCTTGTCTGTTCTTATATCACGACTGTCTGTCGTGGCACAAGTATAATATCATTGGTCGTGACTGTCTCGTGGACGTTTATTTTATCTTTAAACGACTGTCGTGTCTAACTGTTCCCACTAGAATCTGACGACGATTTATTGGTTCACGGTAGCCGCCTTGTCGTTTGCAGTTTTGCATGACAGAATTGTTTGAAGCTGCGATTATCTGTCGTCACATGTTTATTGTGACGTTTTATTTACAGACGACTGTCGTTCTAATTCTTCCCATTGTCACGACAGTCTGTCGTCGTATCGCCAAAAAAAGTCGTGAAAGACAGTTAATCGTGTTGTTTTAAGTGTAAACAACTTAATTTAAATATACAAGACACGACACTTTAAACTGCACGACTATCTGTCGTGACGGCTTAATGGGAACGCGCCCTTACTGTTAAATAAGTAATACTCGACTAAATTAAAAGAAGTATGATGCGAATGAAGCTTCATACCAAAAAACAATGTCAACGTTGTTTTTTTATTTAGTCGAGTATTACTTATTTGACAGTAATTGTTTCGGACGGAGTTCGGACCGAGAACGAGAGTATGCGCATTAATTAATTTAATTTTGATCTCGCTTTCAGTCCGAGCGGTTGCACATTCTGGGGCAAGAAACCGTGGTCACGCAAAAAGAAGCTGCTCTGGCAGCTAGGCACATTAGCGGGCGCACCGCTCGGCATCGCCGTCGTGGCCGGAGTGGCGTTGCCCGCGTTGCTGGTCGGACTGCCCTTATGGGCCGGTCGCCGCGCGCATCGCCGCCTGAGGAGACACACGCCCGCGAAGCGACGCGCTGCTGTCGCTGCCGCCGTTGCCGCTGCGGTGAGTTGCTTTTCAGTATCACTGTGCTGAGGGGCCATTTGTAAATACACAGAGTAAAATTCCATAACAACACGAAAGATTTCTATATTTTATTTTTATTGAATATCATGACGTGTTTACTACCATGACATTAATTTATTTTTTGTGAAAATACTTACTGGTTTTTTCGAGCAAACACATTGAATTCCTTCGACTCGACTGGTCTCGAACCAGCGACTGTTGCCTTAACGTGGCAGTCAGCAGATCTTATGGTGCCACTTGAAATGGCTATCTGTATTCGCGTATGATATATATTTCACAAACAATCATCATGTGTAACACGTGTGACAAAGTATTTTTGCTTTGTTTGCCTATTCGACAAATTCAGCAAACACCAAAAACGCGTTACCGCGTGCTGGTCAGTTTCTCGACGCATATCAAAGGTTGCCTCCTTACGCAAATAAACCGTTCACACCATGGTCATATTAATTATTTTAACTCCTTATCTTCCCTGTTTGCCCGGACGTCAAATATTTAATATACCTGTGAAACTGTGTGTGAAATGCCACCATAAGGCGTTGGCTTTGTGTTTGGTGATTGGGACATCTTTAACTAACATTAATATAATTTATATATTTGCAAACTCATTAAATGCATTTAAGAAAAAAGTGCGAGAAATGGTATTCTAGTGGTTTTAATAAGTGTAAGTCAATGGTTTTAATGCATATTTTTAGTTTGATGACTGTAATGTAAACATTCATATTGCAATGTAGATATTTAGTATATATAGGTCACGTATTTACACAATTTACGTTGTTTATATATAGTACTACAGATATATTATAGATACATTGTTTTTAGTTATTGTTTGTAAATGGCTGTTTGTTACCTGAATAAATAAGTTAAAGAAATAAACATTTTGCTGTCACATGTAGTATGAAGTGTTTAGGAAGTTTTAACTTCTTTAATCGAATCAATGACATACAACTCAGCCACGCCGACCGCGTCACTAGTATTAAATCCTCAAGCCTGCAGGTGTGAGGGCACGATATGAGGTGGGTCATCGTTTGAGTCGCACTGCACAAGCAGTCCAGTAGATCGATTCAGAACCATACGATAACTCTGTTGTCGACTGATTCGATTAGTATCGTACGATTTATTTTTATTCACAATAACCGAATCGTACGTCAAACTGTTGTATTCGAAACCGAACCGAAATGACGTCACACCCTTACGATTACTATCCGACCGAATCGAACGTTTTAACTCGAATGTTCTGAATAGCTCGGGAAGCGCCCTTCGATTCGAGAACGATATTCAATCGAACGATTCGGTTAAGATATCGAAGAGTTCTGAATCGGGGTCCAGGTTAGAACCATCCGAAAATCCCCACCTAACAAATTGTCCTTGCTCCGACGAACCTGAGTCCGAAGCCTATTTAAAAACGGCCAGATCGGCCATGGCAATTCGTGTCCAAGAGGAAGACTCTCAGAAGGCGGGACAAACGTAGGTGGTACTCTTTCGCGCCAAAGCTGCAAATGTTCAGAGGTTTGACAAAACTTTTCCGGCTCCTGAGTCTCTGTTGCACTGTGAAGTGATCGTGTATAGGGTGCCGCTACGTTTCTGAGGATGTGTGGCGTTAACTGTCTACTATGAATTAAGCCATCTAACAATTTAAATTGATTGCCTCCATTGTAACTTTTCCAGTTGGTAGTATCACCGCTGGTGGCTGGGTTGGCGGTGGGCATCGGCGTGCCGATTTTGCTGTTCTACGTATACGGCGTGGTGCCGGTGTCGCTGTGCCGCGCCGGAGGCTGCGGCGGGGGCCCCGCGCCCGGTCCTCCCACTCCCTTCGACGATGATCGCGATGGGCCTGCCGATCATGATGCCGTTTCTAGAAGGCTCGAACCTAGCATCGGTAACTATACTATTTAACTATACTGGGGCAGGGGCGTTGTATAAGCTTTTATAATAAAATTTCGAGATATTAAAAATTTGCCTAAAAAAATGAAATAGGGTGTCCAAAGGAGTTTATAAATGATCTACGATGGAGTGGTTAGAACCAAAAATATCAATTAATTACTTATTTGAATCCCGTATTTCCGAAAGTAAGTTTACTGCATCGTAGGATAAAACCACCAAATATTACTTTATTTCATTCTATGTCACTCTTTGAATCTATGTGGACATTTATCTACCGTGGCCACGCAGAAGTCCCAGGTTCGATTCCCGGGCCGGGAGAAATATTTGTATGGCTTACATTTATTTCTCTCGTGAGTTTGGGCGTACTTTGCGGTTGTCTAAGTGTGTGTCCATGGCACCCGCGGCACAGGGTTTTGAGGGATAATCATTTAGTGCATAGCCGCGAAAGTCTAAGAGTTAGCGAAGTAAAACGCTCTCGCGCAGGCGACGCGTCGCTGTCGGCGGGGTCGGCGCAGGTGGAGGCGCGCGCCGCGTCGCTGGCCGCGCTGGCGGGGTCGCTGGGCGGGCCCGAGGCGGCGTCGCCGGGCGCCACGCGCGTGGAGGTGACGGCGCTGGTGGCGGCGCCGGCGCCCGACGCGCACAGCGCGCACAGCGGCCACAGCGCCCACAGCGCCCACAGCGCGCGCTCGTGGCCCGAGGACCTGCCGTCCACGTCGGCGCGCTCGGCGCGCCTGCGCTCGCTGTTCCTGTACGGCTCGGCCGTGCCGCCCGACCCCGAGGCCGGCCCGTCGGCGCCGGCGCCCCCGCCCTCGCCCCCGCCCCCGCTGGCCGTGCACGTGTCCAGCGCGTGCGAGACGGGCCGCGCGCCCGCGCCCGCCGCCTCCTAACCCGCTGCGGCGCCGCTCTATCCGATGTTTGTGATACTTTCAATAATAACTACTATTAATGATCTAAATTATTTAATTTTTCACGTTTGTAGGCGAAAAAGTAATCGTAAGCGATATTGTATGTTATGTGAATCGTATAAAACTAAACTTAAGGATTAAAATGTGATTATTATATCTAGTCGTTGTTTCATTTTCTGGGTTTCGAAATGAGAGACGGAAGGAAAGGTTTTGGCTCGTATATTTCCATATATCGCTAAGGGACACGTAGGCCTACTGAACGCCGTGTCATAATCCGGTTTTCGTAGGCACTCTTTCTTATTCTATCGACACATTTCGTCGTAAACAGAAAAGTATACAACACTCAATTATTATATCCGTAAGGAAAACTGACTCGAGTACATGGTCACTAGAACACATATTTACAATAACAATTAGAACATCTGTGAAAATATTTTTTCTTTCAAAATAGATGCTTGTTTGGCTAAGGGCAAATCTAGTTGAAATTACACGCGTACAATTTTAAATAACGTCCGGACAGGGTGTGTTTAATTTCAATATCATAATCGATCTCCACTGCATTTTTCCTTCTAGATTTGTCTCTAGCTTAAAACTAAATTTAGGCCTTAAACGTAAAGCAATAAGAGCGTTCGCTAGTATCGAAAGCGTACGCGTGTCGGCTTCGTTCGCGGCATGCAGCATGCAGCGAACGACTTCAGTCGACTCAAATTGCATTAAAATTTTAAGGCTCAATTTACATTACTGCGGAACGGAATGGAAGGGAATTTTTGTAACAAAATTGTATGTACATAGCATTATGGCGATACGGTAGCTGCGGGAATTCTCTAAACGTGCAACCTTGGTCTCCCAAGTCTATTAATTTTCTAGAAAACCACTGGTCATTGTAATTCCATTGAGACTCCACTGATATTATATTGCAATTATGATTAAGAAGGCTTCCCGCGGCCCGTAGTGTCACGGGCGTCACACGTTGGCCCGAGGCCGCCCGGACTCGCCCGCTCAAACTGGCGCGTTTGTAATTCTGCTAAAATCTAGATGCAATGGCAGTTGAGTCTCAACAGTGTCAGTCAATAAATAAATAAATAAAAATAAAAAGACATTTATTTATCCACAAAATACACATAAAACTAGTACAAATAAAAAAACAGCGACAACTAAAACAGAAATGTGAATAAAAAGGTTGAAGACTCAGCATTGCTGATTTTCAGTCTACACCTCAATCTAATCGCTAACAATCGATATTGCCTCACAAAAACCACCATGGAAATTTTTATGTATCTTATTTTTTATCTCGTTTTTGAATAGTAGCCCGATCGCTAGTTCATTGCCCGTGGTCCAACTGCGTAGTCCAACTAGTAGGACCAAGGGTAAAGTTTTTTGTCCTTGGTCCAACAGTTGGACTACGGGCATTGGACCTACTGATCGGTTAGTACAGTCACCTTCAATATTAATAATGTTACTGGTTCTGAGCTAACTACAATTGTTCTCTAGGATGATCCTTGTGACAGTTCATACAAAATCTCAAGATATAATTTTGTAATAACGCGCACTGTTTAATATATTTTATGAATTATTATTGTAAGTATCGCTTTTAAGTGAAAATGAACTGAAAAGCACGCACTGAAGAGCGCCGCAGCTGGCTTTAAAACCCATTATGCTATAGTTACAAAAATCTTCATAAAACTTCCATTTCGTTCCGCAGCAATGTAAATTGATCCTAAAACAATTCTATGGAGGAACAAATATCAATGCGAGGAATGTCATGAATAAAGAGCTCTCCAACAACGGAGATGAAGGATGCAACATTAAATCTAAATAATTTAAACTGCAATAAATTTGGAAACAATATTGTCATTTCACATAGCGCTCGATCGCTATCAATGATGTCTTGTGAAAGACGGAAGAAATTTTATATACATACATTTCACGATCAACTACGTTTCTAAAGAAAACAGTCTGAAAAGGCGTATAATAAGTTGATCATATTGTTAACAATGAGATATATTTAAACTATATTCTATATGAGGAAGAAACATAGTTCATCCTTAAGGCTCAATTTACATTGCCGCGGAAGGATTGGAAGCGAATTTATGTAACCATAGCTTAGAGAACTTCATTGTCAATCGTGTATCGTTCGAACTAGATACGAGTCAAAGTCCGGAATTCCCGCAGCTGCTGTACAGTATCAACACACATAAAATCAAGCACATTTTTGTTAACTGAAAATCATATTTTTTACATTTTTTTTACATAAAAATATATCAGTGTTAAAAAAACAATAATTAAAAAACCTGATTTTCAGTAATTTGCAAAAATGTTTGATCCCTAGACACTTTTGATGCGTGTAGTTTGCACGTTACACAATTGACATTAAGTTCATTATGCTATGTACAATTTCCTTACAAAAATTAGCTTCTATTTCGTCCCGTGGCAATGTTGAGCCTTAACGTAGTTTCTATCTAACAACATTCAAAATACGCATATCGTAAGATTCGAAAGAAACTCCCATAAAAAATGAGTTCTCTACCTCATTTCAGTGCACATTACAATGGTATAATATACCGTCTCTGTGACGAAATCGTATCTGTGTTATATGCATAAATCTACTAATTTAATACCACCATAGGAAATAAAAAGTACTCTATCAGAAGTTACAAAACTCATTTTACGAAAATTCACACATCTTGAGTTACCGTTGAGTGGAATTGTATGGACTAATTCTGATCGGCTCAAGCCGATTCTGCGTTAGTAAGTGTAGTAGCTCCCTTACATTACAAGGTTAAACGCGATGAAACAATATTTTTCATATAGTTACGATAGTGCCGACTTAGGATACAGGGTGTGCGACGCAGACGGGCGCAGTGTCTTAGACTGCTAACAGATTGACTGCATGTTTGCAGTTAATCCGTGAAGTCGTTATCAAGTTCATACAGTCGAAACCGACTTCATGCAGCCGAGACCTTGACTGCAAGAAGTTGATAACGACTTCACGCATTAACTGCGTTCAGTCGATCTCGATCGCTTGAAGCCGGTTTCAACTGCATGAAGTTGATAACGACTTCACTTCGTCAATCTGTTAGCAGCCTTAGGGGGCGCCGACGACGCCTCCAAAAAGCCTACCTAACCTGACTTTAACTGCAAGTATTACAATTTGATCGCGTGCCTGTTTGAGGGCGCCAGGGTATTGATTGCATCCGGGCGCTACGCTGGCTAGAACCGGTGTACGTTATGAGGGTGGATGAAGACTGCAGAAGGTGGATGTGACGTAATATCATATCTTCAGTCAGTTCATGACCGTGGTCACTGCACCGGATAGATATCCGAAACTTCGAGATAGTACACGAGTGTGCAATTACCTATTAAATGTTACATCGCGTTTATTCCCGTTTTGTGATAGAAGTAAACTAATGGAAAAGTACGTGTGACGTACTTTACACGAGATAAAAGAACAAAATCTATGTATGATTTTTCATAGTTCTCTGTTAGATAACTATATAAATAATAATGAAACAAACGTACCAACTCCCGAACTATTGAAAATATTATAATAAAAAATAAAGGCAATTTTCCAAAATAGGTATGTATGTACATTTGTTACAATTATACTTGGTTATATATCACAATATTCTTAGCCTACTTAAAATTAAAATATATACAATTTGAAATGTTAATATTTTATGTTTTTTTTATATTTTTGGGTTTATTTAGAACAGGTCAATTGAAAAATCAGAAACAATTTCGTTTAACATTTTTTTTGTTACATTGTATGTACCCTCAAGGCGCGTTTATTCGACACAAATTTCATCACGCCTACGTCGCCGCACAGCGACCGCATGCGTCTGTCATGGCAAAATACGCTCTATTGATTTAGCTTTTACGTTTTAACTTAAATGAGAGACCCGGGCGCGCGGGCGAGACCGGCTTGTTTTTCGTCTACGCGGCGGCCGACGACCGGGCGGTTGTATTGTTCTGAGGAATTTAAATGTAAATAGAATTCAGATTCGCCAGTAATGTGCGTGAAAACGTGATAGTTGAGCGGACACCGCGCGACAACTTTCGCATCGTGTAACAGCGCTCAGGAAGCAGGCAACACATTCGCGAGCTTAACTATATGTATATCAAATTGACGAGACGAAACGCATAAGCGACCAAAGTATTTCCTAATATTAAGACTCCAAGCGCCCCGGTACCACTACTGCGCGGCAGATACCTAGTAGGAAGTGTCGCGCTACATCTGCTGCATGGTACTGTACTGCAAAATAAATTCCCTGACATTTCTAAACAACCTAGCTATTAGAAACATTTTTAAAGCTACATACTACTTTTTATTGAGCTTCGATTTTATTATAAAACATCAAATTTTTACTATTAGAATTTTTTTTTTATTAATCTAGAAGAATTAATATTTTTAAATGCACATAAGTCCAGTTTATTTATGTGGGTCGACCGGAAAGCTATGAAAACAATTGGTCGAACCTCTCTCGTTAGTACTTACTTTTTAAACATTTATAAAATTCAATTATATAATTAATGCTACTTATAATTAGGCCTAATTTCAAATTTCCCTTCACTAGCCCTCTCAGGGCTGCTAGCTCTTCCAGAACTTTCGATACATCTATAGACTATTCTATCCTGTTTGCTTACTTAGCCCAAGTAATTTTTATAAATTAGGGACGACAATTCATATATCTAAAACTTATGATTGTAACAAATACATTCCTGGCTGTAGAGTTTTATAAATATATCAACGGTGAGAATAAAGGTCATCGCTTACATGCACTGCTCCAACACGGTTGGACGGTGGGGCACGAAAGGAAAGGACTGATAGCAAATCATTATAGTATATGCCATCGACACGGTAAGAAGACTGTTCCAACCAACGACTTCAATCTATAGGCAAAAATATTCACAGCAACTACATGTTCCGAACAAAACACTATCAATAGTGACCATGTTTTGTTTTAGTGTTGAATTTTGTCAAAGAGTATCAATACCATTGTACCGTGGACAGACGTGATAATCTATACCTATTGGGAATAAGCCAGGCTAATTATACTTAGGCAGGCAGATAATATTGAGTGTGTAACCAATGATATTTATCCATAGTTGAGGAATTGACGTTAAAGCCCAGGCACAGTCGCTATTAGTTGCACAATTTCATTTTCCTTTGACCCAGGGGCCGCTTACTATTTATAATTATTACTAAAAAGAAAAACAAATTAACACACTAGGGCCGCAAGAGTACAATTTGGAGTTGAGGAGATTGGATGTAATGGAGACATAAATATTGTTCTGGAAAACCCCTTATAGAAAATAACCAAAAAAATTTATACTAATGTAACCTATTGTATCAAATCTAAAAATGCCCCTAACTGACCATGCAATTTGAGGCCGGCATAAACAGCATGTGGTACAGTGTTAAAGGCCTTGTTAAATATTATGAAAACAAATTGAGAAAACGAATACAGTAGAGTTGTTGAAATTATAGATGTTATGTACTTTGCCTTGCGGAAAGGCAAAGATCTTTAGACCGTGCAGCCTAGACTTTTCTTAAATTTATATATGGTAATCATAGCAACTATTTTATTAATATAATCCCTACTCTGTTATTGTATAGTCAGTATACTGTTGTTTGTTAATCTATGATATTGAAGTGTTGTGTCTTCACCGCATATCAATGAAATACAGCTTGTGTATGGTACGCCGCATCTAGTATGCTAGTACATAAACACCGCTTTGCTCACCTGGTGGAAAGTGACGATGGAGCATGCACACCTAAAAATGCCTGTACACCTCACCTTGAAAAGGCCCAAGGTACAGCGTTTAGGTAACAAGTCTGCAGGGAATTCCACTCCATACCCGTTCGCCATTTTGTCTTACAAAGGGAAAGTCCGCTTTGAAATATTTTATTTTGAGTTAAAACGTGTAAGTGAACGATGACCATTATTTTAACAAAAAAATGTATACTGCATATATTGCGTGCATCTGGCTTAAACAACAATTCCCTATAAACACAGCCTTACTAAATCTCATTATAACAAATTACACAGTGCACACCTGACTTCTGTTAACCAAAAACAATTATTAACTATACAAAGCAGAGACAAGTCCTTAACTATAAAAATTATTCCATATGACGTGATCTAACTGCGCATGCAAAGTATTTACAAAGTAAACACACAAAATAAAATTCCATAACAAAACAAAGATTTCATTATTTTATTTTCATTGAATATCATGACGTGTTTACTACCATGATATTCATTAACTTTTTTGTGAAAATACTTCACTAGGTTGTTCGAACAAACACAAAGAAAAATTCCTTCGACTCGACTGGAAACGAACCAGCGACTGTTGCCTCAACGTGGTTACCTGTCGATAGAGCCAGCAGATCTTATGGTGGCACTTCATGTGGCTTTTGATATATTTGGCAAACAATACCATGTGTACATTCATATACATGAGATACTAACCTAATATAAACCGACCTTTTGGTTCTGAGAGCCATCTTACGTATTGAACAATGAAAAAATTGAAGCAATTTCAACTTTATTGTGTAAGCAAGTGGAGTGTTGCTTGAAGATGATCAACATATATTTAAAACCAATACCAAATTTCGTCATTTAACTTCCAAGTAAATTGGTCGAGCGGCTTGTTGTATCGACTACCAGTTACAATACTCGTGGTTCGATTCCACGGGCACTGTTTTGTTTTAACGTTATATTTTTAACAGCATTGGTTCACTAGAAACTGCCTAAGGTGGGTGGGTGCATATTATTAATAAAGCGTAGGGTGAGTATGGATAGATTAACAAATAACGAAATCGCTCTGCAGTTTGCATACGATCGTGTCTTCTGTGATTACGCATTGTTCCACGTTTCGTTCCTATTTGTCTATTCAGTTTTAATAAATTTCAAGGTTTTAGTGACTTTCAAAGACTTTTACTTTCTTTCTTGTTTTAATATGCCACACTTAACGGAATTATTAAAATTAGAAATTATTGTTCTGTATGCACAAGACTTAGACATTCCCTACACCTATCCAGACGTTAAAACAGAAAAAAAATATTATATAGTCATAGCTAAACAATATTTTATGTTTAACGTGACTCGAACCATGCTTGCCTCAATTTGCAAAGCCATATTTATACCCTTTGACCATGACGGCCTTACTAAGCTGGTTGAAATTTGTGTTCTGTATTTAAGTACGAACCATACGTTAAAGATCAAGTTCGCTTAAAAACTTTCTTAAATTGTCATTCACTAATGAGACGACCAGGGGGTCCCACCAAAATAATTTTTACGGCTCACTGGTTAAAGATTAAAGTTGTTTAACAATTTTCTCCACATTTTTGTGCTCAGAACCAAAAGGTCGATAAAGTCGGCTTGGAGGGTCAGATATGTTGTGTATATGACTGTACATAGCATGTGTGACAAAGTATTTGCCTTCTTTGTCTATTCGACAAATACAGCAAACACCAAACATGCGTTTACGCGCGCTGGTTGGATTCTCGATGCACATAAAAGGAGCCAAATATGCAAATACGCAAGTAAACCGTCCACACAGTGGCCATATTCATTAGTTTAACACCTTATTTGGCTCCATGTGCACCACGGTCATATTTTGTCAGCATCTACATGTTTGTCTGGACGTTAAATATTTTTCCAAGTACATTAAACACCCCATAACGAATACAAGTGGCCAGAGATGGATAAGTACGCCGTGTTTTAATCGGATTAAAACCCAAAATCGAGGACAACAACTATGTACAACTAGATATTTGTAAATCGAGTTTTGTTCAAATGTAGTTATATTATTACATAATAACACACACACTTTTACTTTGTACTGCCTCCGTGGCCGAACGGTTCCCATGCCGGACCTCCACGCAGAGGTCCCAGGTTCAACTCCCGGGCCAGGAGAAATATTTGTATGGCCTACATTTATTTCTCTCGTGAGTTTGAGTGTAATTTGTGGTTGTCTATGTGTGTCTATAGCACCCGCGACTCAGGGTTTCCCTATTGCGGGGCTATGTTGAGTGCGTTATTATTAATTATATTATTACAAAATGTTTATTGCTTGTTTACATATTTTGCCTTTGTATTGAATCGATTCCTTTCAAAATTGCATTGAAATGAATACAAATACAAGATACAAGACTCGTTATCGTGTTCACTAGAATCGATTTTTATAAAAATCTAATCATAATATGCATCCCTAGTAGTAAGTGAGAGTCTACGATTGCAAGATGGGTATAGTGCGGAGTTCCCTATTTTTCGTAAAAAAAAATAATTTTTTATATCGAAATTTCAAATAAGTATGGAATTATACCAAATGCCATATTCGCCGTCTGCCCACGATTAAAAATGGGTAAAAACCCGGTTGAAACTCGGGAGTATTAATTGGGTTTTAACTCACTACCCATCTCTGCAAGTAGCCATGTGTTCTTGTCTAAATGGCTTTTTGCTCTAACGCCACCTCTGAGAACTTATAAAAGTTTCTTGACTCACCCAGGTTCTAGTCCAGTAGTGCGGAAGGAATTTTTGTGTGTGTATGAACAATAAAGATTTCATTTTCAAGGAATATAAATTTATAAGCTCGAGATACGAAAGGTATTGTTTTTAATTAGAATTATACGTTATAACATGATTCCATGTCATAAAAACTTTTAAAATCATTTAAAACAGTAGAAATGCACTTCTGTTATAGCAACTATTAAATGCGGTTTATTGGCTACAAAACAGATACTAGTGCACTCGCAATTTCAGTACACGAACTTGTAATTGTGAAATACTTTTAAGCAACGAGACAACTTATTTATGCTCAGAACACACAAAGGTGGCCGCGGAAGTGTTCCGGGCGCCGGACGATTTCATTCATATAAAGTCGTACATTGCGAAAATTCCCGCGCCCGGAACGCTTCCGCGGCGGCCGCCTCTGTGTGATCACAGCATTAGTTGTTTAAAAGTTTTCTTGTAAAATTGAGCTAATTGCACTACTAAAAACAATTTTCTCGGTCGGGGGCTCGACACAGGCTTTTCAAATCAACTACAGGCGAAAGCACTTACTTATGTAGTCGATACCCCAAAATCGTAATATGTCCTATTGATTTCATTAGGTCTCAAGCTGCTTTTATGAGTGAAAGTGAAAATAAATATTATTATGCTGTTATGAACAAATTAATAGAATTACAAACTCGGGTTTGGGTATGCGGCGAACTAATTCCATTATGAACAACTTTCAAACTTAAAACTCAAAGTAGATACCAAAAGGACGTTGATAAGGTACATTTTATGACAACATCTATAATTTTACATATAGCGCAGTTCATTGCAAGAGAACCTAAACCTTAAGGGAGTCCCTACACTTACCGCGCGGAACCGGCGTTAGACGATCTTGTTTAATCACATTTTGTCGCCTTACTTTCTCAAACTCGTATCTTAAAAAATGAAATATTTAGTTAGTATAAATTAAATTTTTATTGAATTGATATTCAATTATTTTTTGTGAAATTACTCCACTAGTTTGTTATAATTATTAATACAAAGATCGAACACTCCGACCGGATCGAAGGAATTTTTTCTGAGTGTTTTTTGTGAGTGTTCGATCTTTGTATTAATAATTATGAATTGTATATACAAATTGTGCAGGCTGATTTCATATCACATTTGCTTCATATTCACATACTGGCTTTTACCTATTCTTAAAGTAATGCATCCAAATTGACACCCTTGATAAGAAATTTAAAATAAATATAAAGTTTTGCCATCTCCTGAATAATCACTCTTTATAAGATACGAGTTTGAGAAAATAAGACATCAATTTGTCGCGTTGAGCCGAAAGGTCGATAACGTTGTTGGTCGGACGTCGTCGGCGCCGTATGCATTCGTTGCCGGCCTCTGTCGAGTCGTTTCTAGGGATGCACGACTTTTTGCTTTGAATCGATTTTTCGGATCGTAATGGATCATTGTGTCTCTGAATCGATCCACACACCGGATCGTACGCTTTTGAATCGGTCTCACAAAAATCGTTTCAAATAAATTTTGATTAAAAAAAAATAATTTTGACAGCCTTTTGGCTTCAGTCAGAGAGACTCATTTAGAGTGATAGTAGACGTTCAGATCGTATCATAATTAAAATATGTTTTATACATTTTTATAAAGCTTTTTCAGGTCTGTCTAATGGGATTCCGTGCCGACAAGTGTAGCGGACTCTCTAGGACAAGAGACAAAATCCAGCAGAAATTACGCGTTTGAATATCTCACGTAAAATTTCGTTCAACGTCACATGGTAGCTGCTGCCAATTTTTTACGACTTACAACAAATTTCGCGCGTTATTTAGCTGCGTAATATCCGCCAGGTAAGTGTCTAGCTTAGTAAACAAAGCAAGAGAATGTAACTTATAGGACTATTTAAATTAATACAATTGGAAGTCATACGTGGTGGAACCGTCTCTCCATGTTGGTTCATCGGCGACCTTAGCGCGGCATAGAGGGCAGGTGTGTTCCCTATCCAGCCAGGCTGAGATACAGAGCTCGCAGAAGATGTGGCTGCAGCCGAGTCGGACCGGCGTCGTGTAATCGTCATGGCAGATCGGGCACGAATCTCCAGCTGAGAGCAGTTGCTCGCCAGTAGGTTTTGTGCCTAGGTTCTGGAGAATGACACTTACATTATTAATTATCGCCATATAGGGTTATGAGTGGGAATTATTGAGAAAAACGTCCGCATGGTAGTAAGGGTGCGTCCATTATGTAGTGACGACAGATAGTCGTGCAGATTAAAGTGTCGTGGCTTGTATATTTAAACGAGTTGTTTACATATAGTATAACACGATTAACTTTCGTTCACGACTTTTTTAACGTTACGACGAGAGATTGTCGTAATAATGGGAAGAGCTAGAACGAACAGTCGTCAGTCAGACAATAAATGAAACGTTACGATAAAATACGACGACACATAATCGTAGCTTCAAACGAGTACGTCGTGCAAACGACAAGCGGCTGCCGTGAACCAATAAATTCTTGTCGCGATCTAGTGGAAACAGCTAGATACGACAGTCGTCTGACAACGATAAATAAAACGTTACGACATAATGGGAACGCGCTCTTAAGACTGATTTATTACTGTTGTTGATGAGTTGGATAACATGAATAAATGAATATAACTTAAAACTACATATACCTATCTATACCTCACCTATGAATAAGAACACACAGATTTTTTTCTTTCGTCGACCCGACACGAAAAAAAAGGAAAAAAAAAATATGTGTGTTAGATCTTTGTATTCTATAACCATAACAAAAAAAACTAGTAGAGTTATTTCATAAAAAAAATGTCAGTAACAACATTATTATTATTAGTATCAGATTATGATTATTAGATTACTGTTCTTTGTTGTCATTGTATTTTTTAATCGACTTCAAAAAAGGAGGAGAATCTCAATTGGACTGTATTGTTTTTTATATGTATGTTACCCAATTACTTTGTAAACCGATTTTGATGATTCTCTTTTTGTTGGAAAGAGCGTACCTCGTATTGGTCCTATTTAAATTTAAAGAAAATAATCCACCTCTAAGGGTGGCAAATTAGGAGATGAATCCGGTTTCGCGCACTTTCCAGTAACCGATCTCGATAAAACTTGGCAAACAGATGTAATTTCAGGAACTTTTGAAATCGTTTTTTATTTTAATAAAAAAGATACAATTATATTGATTTAATATAAAATGTTCAGTGTACGTAAATCATTGAATTTTGTCAGTACATTATTGATACTTCTCTATGCAACTTGGAAATAGCACTGTAAAGTCCGTAGTTGGTTTTTTGACATCCATATAGCGAAAAGGTGCACCCGTTACTATCGTAATGTTCTAATATTTAATTTTACGGCAATCGCTGTTTCTGTCCATGAACGGGTTAACAAAAATGGTAACCTATCACTAACTCGAATTATTTTTTTCCATAATAGCATTTGTTCAAATTTTCATTACCCCGAAAACCGAATTATAACGAAACCGTTGTTTTTTCAGGATATGTTGGATGTTTATCGCAAATACGATTAGGTTCGGTTAAGTTAGGTTTAAAAGAAAAAACATTTTCAAAATTACTTTTGAGGTTATGAAAATTCGAGCAAAAGTAATTTCTGGAAAATGTCATTTCGGACTTCTGATAGGTAACCAAGAAAAACGTCAGTATTTAATAATCGATAACTTTTCACCTCTCCAGCTCGGAAAGGCTTTTTTTGAAGACACCCGTCAATTGTTTCGAATTCGGGCTGTCCAATCGGAGCGCAGTTGTCACCGTAATGATATGGCAGAATAGTTTTCAAACAAATTAAATGACATTTCGTCTCTATTTCTGGTTATGTACTCGATGCCAATACCATGTCAAAACATCCCTGTCTCCGACACAATTACAGAATTTACCACATGTCAGAGAAGGCTAGTGATCACGAGCAGAAATGCTCTATGGAATCTATGGGTTAATAATACTAATTAGTAATGAATGATCATTCAGATCTTTCGAATTTCATTTCTACAATGTCCATCGGCATCATCGGATTTTCGAATGCACGCGAATATTAATTTCCATGCCCATTAATTATTAAATTTAAAATCTATAATAATTTGAATACTGAACAACATATTTTATTGTTATTTTGTTTTGATTTCCGTGGGAACTATATAGAGCTGTAAAACTGTTTTCCTATTTTTATTAACATTTACTCCATGTCAACAAAAATATAAAGAAAATAAAGTGTGCTTTTTTATATAACTAAAAATGAATATTTTTCCGGTTTTTAATAAATTCAATTCAGTCCGTATCTGAACGCGTTTCTTCATCTGACATAGCTATATTAGTATGTTCGCCATCGATGGAATAAAGACTTTCCGCGCTGCTCGAACAGGTCTTTACCATAAAAATTGTAAATAATAAAAATGACAATAATAATTGTAATAAATAAAAAAATTAATAGCAACTCTATTTATTTCCAAGTCAACTGAAAGCGTCCGGTCTATATCAAAGGCAAAGGGCAAGTGAGTGAATAAAATTCGAATAGAAACACTGTAGATCAGTAATTTCACATTCGAATGACAGGAAATCATTCACAATCGCGCATCGCTAATTTGATTACTGTTAAAGGGTTCATATAATTACTATTTTGTATACATAATTAGTAACAAAATCATTGACTTACAATTATATGGACGTCGGGTCCGCGCTAAAAAGTGTTAAAATCGTATACAGAGCGTCATTCACGCTTTAGCCTTCGTTTGTTCGACTGACAGCGAAGCAAGCAAAATTAGACAGTACTGCGATGACATTACAATTTAAATTCAACGTTTTAGCTTTTTCATATTCCTTTACACGTCACTACGTTTAAATAGATTGACTTGGGACATTTTTTTCGTGGTTTTTGTATTAGACCCGTCGTCCATTTATTTGTAAGTCAATGAATAAAATCAACAAATGAACTTACCACACTTTGCAGCAACGTCCATGTAGCAGTCTTAAACAACTTCAACCTCAGCAGCACCTCAATCACTTTTGCAATAACATAAATGGACGTCAGAAACATGCCCACCATTTTCTCTGAACCTTCGTATGATTGCATGAGGAAGAATATCCATGGTTGGATAGTTAACAGCGAACGGTACAGCTGCGACACTGCTTCAACAAATAGATATACTTTGCCCTGCAAATTCAAATTATCATTATTTACTTATTGAGCAACAAATATTACTTAATTAGAAACTCAAAATATAATGTTGTACTTAAACTAAAAATTTATTCGTTTAAATACTGTTACTACAAAAACCCGCCATTTTGGCAAATTAAATGTAAGTAGTTGGGGTATAATAAATTTATTGTTTAAGCGAAAAAAATCTTTCAAAACTGTTGGCAGGTAATTACAAAAAAATGTGATGATATAGCAACACCGGCAAACTATTGGCCGATTTCAAACAGTGGTTGAAATGGCAATAACGAGCCGAGAAGCCATGTAGCATTTAAATTCATTGATAATATATTTGTATATAGAAAAAAATTAATTAATTTTGTTCTGCTAGTATTATTGTTTTATATTACTTTCCAAGTTTATTATCTCCAATATTTCGACTAAAGGGCTCGTATCCAAGGTAATGAAATAATTAAAAAACACTAAATCAATGTTACTGGGCTGTCATTGCCTACGCGGTTAGTTTGCTCCATCTCCTGTTGCAGAAACCGATATAATAGTAGGTATACAATGTGTGTGTGACCAATTATCACTAACAATTTTAATTCGAAAATTCTAAGAGTTAATTAAGCATATAAAAAAAGATAAATTCAACTTATGTTGTTTGTACTTGAAAGGTTTAGAAGCATATCTTCAAAGACTCATAGTTTCAAATATCTATAGTAAATTAGAGTTATAAATAAGTCATTTTTAGAAGACAGCAATATATATTAAATAAATAATGGTAAAATATGTAATGACATACCCGCTTCTGAAATGGCAGGACAAACGCAGGCATCATAGTGACAAATATCTTAATATCTACAGTCACAATCTTGACTATCAGATCGGTGAGCACAACGAGCCATATCAATTCCCAAACATCAATAGGCTCTGTGTACCCGGGGAACATAATTACGTTGTTGAGCAACCGTCCGTGGCCACAGAAGAAATGAATGATGATTATGCAGCACACTGTGAACACTAGTTCACAGAATAGCGCTACTATGCTGCGGTTCATTTGTTTTCCGTGTTCCCTGTAAAAATTATGTGTTCTTTTTAATCGACTACAAATAAAAAAACCGACCTAAAAAATTCGTGGAAGTTCGAAGTTTTGTTGACATCGGTTACCCGAAAGTGCGCGAAATCGGATTCATCCCCTTGTTTGCCACCCTTAGAGGTGGAATATTTTCTTCAAATTTAAATGGGACTAACACTGAGGTCCCCTCTTTCCAACAAAAAAAGAATCATCAAAATCGGTTCACAGATGTCGCCGGAGTTATCGCGTAACATATATAAAAAAATACAGTCGAATTGATAACCTCCTCCTTTTTTTGAAGTCGGGAGACTCGCAATTCAAGTGTATTTTTTTGTGTTTATGTTTCGCGATTACTTCGACATTTGTGAATCGGCTTCGATATTCTTTTTTTTTTGGAAAGGGGTCATTAGTGGTCCTATTTAAGTTTAAAGAAAATATTCCACCTCTATTATGTTCCTTGTCTATAATGTCACGTAATTTTAAGATAGCATGCAATAGTATTGACTCAATAAATATTATTATTATTATTATTATCTAAGGGTGACAAATTAGGGGATGAATCCGGTTTATTGAATTTCACTCACTTTCCGCCAGCCGATTATGACCTTATAAAGATTAAACCGTTATAATTGTGATAGAAAGTAATAAATTCAGTCGCGTTTGAAAAAGTTGAACGATGATTTTTCGGAACGAAAACGGATCAATTCCTAATCCTTTACTTTTTGGCAGATACGTCACACATGAAACCAAACACTGTCGTAACTCAAAAATAAAACACGATTTGAAAGCTCAAAACATTACTGAATGAAACCAATAAATATAATATATTCTCGTTAATAAATATTATGTATAAATAAATATAATCACATTATTCCCGATATATATACCGATATGGGAATGGAATTTCAAAAATATTAAAGAGATCCATATAGAGAGTCTGGTGTCATTCGAGCTTTGATAGGTCGGTTTCAAATTAAGAAACTTATGAAAACAATGATTTTTAAAGTCGTTTTACGGTATAAACTAATTTTCTTAATTTTTTTGAATTATGTCACTATCATTCTAAAGTGCGATGATTAAACTGCGCTATCGCCCACTGGCTGTTTTGTGAAGTCTCTTAACCTGACAGCGGTTCTAAGAGCAGATATGTACCTTTACATACCGATAAGGGGGTGGAATTCCAAACATGTTAAAGAGGCCCATTTTTTTTATAATATCAAGTGACGGGACGAACAAGTCGTGCGCCTGATGGTAAGCTAGTAATTGTAGTGCCACTCAGAGCTTTAAGTCGCAAAGATCTGAGGGGCACTGCCACTGCGCCGGTCACCCTGAGACATAAGTGGACAAGTCCCATATGCCTGTAATTTCACCAGCACCCTTAACCTTCAAAACCGGAACACAGTAACGTTGACATTACTGTTTCACGGCAGAAATAGGCAAGGACCCATAGAGAGTTTGCGCCATTCGAGCTTTGATGAGTTGGTTCCAAATTAAGAACCTTAACAAAACAATTCCGTACCTGAGAAGCATTACACTGTAAGTACTATTTTTGTAATTTTACAGGAGACGCGGTTTTGTGTCGAAGTTCAGCGTGTACAACATTTAGATTGGCTTAAAATAAAACTAATTGAGTTTTAATAACATTTCGAACTACCCTAACTGGCGTACAAACCGCTTTTCGACTCAAAACTGCTTCCCCCCTAAAATTACAAAAATGGCGCTTACAGTGTAATGCTTCTCAGTGTCTTTCAATTTTTAAAGTGGTTTCACGGCATAAACTCATCTTCTTAATCATTTTAATAAGGACACTTTAATTCTATAGTGCGATGAATAAACTGCGCTATCGCACAATGGTCGTTTTGTTAACCCGATAGCGGTCCAAAGAGCAGGTACACTTTGATTTGGGACAAACAATAGTCTTATTGTGTTATAAGTAGTTTTGACGATCTTTGTGGTCGAGTGGCTTGTACACCTGTTTTCATGGTGTCATCTCTGAGGTTCCGGGTTCGATCCCCTGCCGGGTCAATGTAGAAAAACTAACTTATCTCGACCATTGTCGTACTAATGTTCAGTACCTAATTTGGGTGGTAATTTTTATTACCTATTTAAGTATTCGATTTTTTATCGTGCAATCATCGTGCAATATTATTTAATATTCGAGTATTGTGTCGTGAAAATTATTTAATAATTACACGATAATATACTTACTTGAATATTTAAATAATGAAAATTGCCACGTAAATTAGGTGGTGAACTCTATAATAATCAGAGAATGATCGTTCTATATTGTCTCGGGTTTGGGTGTTCGTCGTACCGTCGTCGTTGTTTCCAATTTCCATAACATAAGTGCTTTTATACAGGGTTATTTGTAAAACGCGAACAACCTCGCAGAACTATATTACTAATTTCTTTGGTACAAAAATAAAAATTCTGAGTCTGAAAAAATAGATTTCTCACACATGGCGCTACGGCAAAAAAGTTTTAAAAACCAAACCAAATACCCGCTACAAGCACAAAGAAAAATTCGTAAAGTCCGCTGGTTCATTCCGTGTCTTAGTTGGCATAGCGTCTAGCACGGTTTGCTAGAAGACGATGGTTCGAATCCAACCGAATCGAAGAATTTTTTCGAAGTGTTCTATCTTTGTATTAATTATTAAAATAAGAATATTTAAATAGCTCGCTCTAAAGTGTGATAACTCTGTGTCATAAGTTACGGAACAAACGTTGTTGTTTATGATGTTAGTAATCTAGTCCTGCAAGATTGTTATTATTTTAAAAATAACTGTATAGTTACTTACTTTGGAATCGGATCAAAACATGTGATGTTGTCTAATATTTATTTATTTAGAGAAAAAAAAAGACAACAGTAAAGAGTATTTTTTAAGAGTATAGACTTACCTTCTTACTAAACTGTTGCAATGTGTGAAAGTGCAGAACAGCACACAGAATGTGAAGATCGCCTCTCGGCTGTCATACATAGACTTAATGAACAGTATGAAGTAGAACGGCGCGTATTTTATTAGTAAATTTAGAGTTGCCCTTACATCTACCACCTGAAAGAAAAAATAAGGTATTGGACACAGAAATTGCTTGAAAAACCATTTCATTAGCTGCACATAGTTGGTCATTTTATAGGCTCTGATACTGAGATATCATGAAATTTGTTACATATACCAAAAACATTTAAAAAACACATTATTCCTATGTTTTTATCATATTGTAGGTGCACAGGATGATTTCTTATGACATGCATTAATGCTAATAGTTTTTTAAGCAATTTTTTTTAAGTGGATCCAACTGAAATGAGTAGCTATAGTGCACCTTTTTGTAAAAATTGTATTCCTATGTATTCGCTAAGTACCCAGATGCAAGAAAATGTAAATAGGTTACTAACAAACGCGCAATTCAAATTAATGAAATTAATAAAATTCACAATCTCTCAATATGTCACCTAAGCGCCTTATAGGCTTATAATATTCAATTGGTCTTTATGTTGAAACTGCTGACAGCCTGGAATTACTCAAAACTGCCTCGAACAAAGCCAGCAAGCAAAGAGCACATTTAAAACACTACACAAAAAAGGTATACATACTCGTACCTGTTGTGTTCCATCTTCACTATGACTGTCATTATCCTGTTCATTGTCATTTATGTTATTATTATTCGCCGGATTCACTGACACATTGATTTCAGGGTGTTCCTGTGCTTGTTCTGACAAATTCGAATCATTTGAAGCACTGTTACTCATGCCATGTGTGGATTGTTGACGTTGTGGGGTAGCTCGTTCCGTTACCACATATGTGGTAGAGTTTGGACCTAGATTGACATGAGCTATTGAGCTCTGTGGTCTTTGTAGGGCGCTATCACCCATTTGATGAGTGCCTGGATGATTGCGTGGCAGCCATGTTGGTAGAGATAGACGAGCGTTATTTCCCTAAAAAAAATGTAAATAATACAGTTAACTTGATATAAAACTGATCCTCTAACCATATTATACATACAAATGGTGGCGGGATGAACAAATCAGAGATATACAGTTAACTCGTCCTATGTGCCTGTAATTTCAGCAGAGTGTAGTAGTCAAACAAGTAAGTAATACAATGAGAGTTTGGGAACTATTTAACATTGAATGTTTTAGAATTTGACTTCCTGTAAGTATTACTAATAGGTTTACATACGGCATATGCAATATGAAAGGAGAAGAAGGCAAGTAGCCCAAACACAAATGATAAATCATTCAGTTAGCACTTTATTAAATCACATAATGGATATGCTGCAAATGAACTATGGTCAGAGAAATAAACAAGTTTGCACACTTTAAATTGTACTGACCTGGGCCAGGTGCACATGGTCAATGACCATTATACCAAAAACAATGCAATTAGTGAAATATTTCAAATTGTGTCATAATAAGAGTTATTGAACTTTTCAGTATATTGAACTGTTAAAAAGCAATATCAAGTTATAAGTAGCTTAAAGTTTAGTGTGCATAAAAGTTCTTATTAGGGTGGCTTCATTTGGGGCCTATGCAGCCCCTCATAACTGCGACCATCATGTGCTCTATTGTGATCACCACTAATTACAGTCAAGGCTGATTACGATCGACAGTCGGGGCATTCAACTAAGGATTTTCCTGGCTCTGACAGCTTTTATGTGCTCTAGTTGTGACCTGTGCCCAGCACGGAACTTTGTATGCCCAGGCAGCATTGGGTGAAAAGATGCACAGAAGTTTCATCTGCCTTGTGGCAGAACCTACACTCTCCATTCTCTCTGCACAATATTTGTTATGCCTTTGTACACTGACATGTTTGTTAAAATTTATTATTTGCTTTGTTGTACAATAAAGTGTTTACACACATACAGTACATGTACACTTCTCATTTATTTTGCGAATTCGAAACTTACTGTATGGTAATTTTCAAGTTAGTTTTCTCTACCTAATTTCGGAGGCAATTTTTATTACTTAAGAATTATTTAAGTATTTATTTAGTATATTACTATGAAATATATTAAATAACATTTTAAGATACGACACTCAAATATTAACTAATATTATGATAATATTCTAGAATATTTAAGTAACAGAAATTGCCACCGAAATTAGATATGGAAAAATAACCTGAAAATTATCTTGCGTAACAAGTTAATTTACTTATCATTACGAGTTAATTTACTTATTTTGTTTTTAGTGCATCACCAAAGTCACACGAACATTCACAAGATGGGTCTGAATTTGGCTTTTTTATCTCAACTAATAGTACTACCCTGTTGAACCAATACACCATAACATTAAAAATAGCATTTTAAGAAAAAGCTGCACAAAGGATTGGTTTTTTATTGATGGTTTTGATTGATGTTAATAACATAAATAGATACATAATTAACTTAGTGTTATTAGCAGTGATCGGAATTGAGGGAGTTTTTATACCTAAAGTTTGAACGTTTTCTTAGTATGGACATACCCATTTCGTGATATGATCAAAAAATATCCCGGGATACGTATTACTTGAACTAATTTAAATTACTATTGAATAAATTCATAATACTACTGAATAAAATTAATATTGTTGTATTACGTTTTATTTATACGTAGGTATTTATTTATAATAATTATAGTGTTTAGTTTGACTCACTAAAGTAATTGTTCTTTCAAAAGGAGAAATATATCTAAGATCGGTACAGAATGTGTAGCAGTCTTCGCTGATGCTGTTATTAACATAAACATAAGTACTACATACATAAAATGGTAAAAACAAGATGTTCGTCACACAAAATAAAAATTTTTCAAGTTTTTATCAGACTTCGTTGTGGTCAAACGGACACTTTGATGAGTTTTTTTTAAGATGAACTGCCAAAATGAGGTGATGCAATTTCGGTGAAAAATGGTACATTTATATGTTCTGGTTCCGTATTGAAATATTTGACTTGGTAATTTAAACATAATCGACCTTACTAACCAACATTCTGGTATTAAAAAAAACCAGAAAATTAAACTAAAACTAAACAACCTTTGCCCTTTGTTAAATATCGACGGTTTTTATAGTTTATCTTATCTTGTTTCTGTACTGTGTAAAAGAGATAACAGTTACGGCTTTCCACGTTGTGTGAAAGAGAAGCTATTACTTATTTCTGCAGCGAAATATCCGTGCAAAAAACTCTTGTAAAATCTTTTGCTGAGTGCGCACGTGTTGTGAAACTAAAGTGTTGACCCCGGCTTGTTATTTTGGAATTTCACCGGCTTTGTTTGACAACTACGGCTTGATTTTGTGGGCTGTACTACAAACGAATTTGATATTTGCTATTTTCTTATCTTCAGTGTAAAAATATTTGCAAATTTAAATTTGCTATCTAAACTTTTTTTATTTATATTTTATGACTTTATTAATAAATAATACAACGCACTATTGCATTTTAATTATGTAACTTGCAAAGTAATAAAAGAAGTCAAAATTTTTGATGATTTGATTATAAAAATGTTGAAAAGTATCATGATATGCCGGTTATTATTGCATCATA